CCTTGTTGTCTCGGATTCTCCAGCATCTGCAGTTCCTACTATCTCAGCTAGTTTTTCGCTAGCTCTCCAGGTGGTTGCAATTCACATTCAGATCCAGTTTCTTTTGTGATCCATGATTGAATCAACAATCCCCTCTCCCGCTCAGGCACTGCAATCAAAATCCAAACCAGTGGCTGTATTAAAAAAAAACGTTCCTCTCACATTGCTTTTTGGTCTTTTTCCACCCACCTCTGGTTCTTTGTCAATAGGAACAGACCTACCTTGTGACTTGTCAGTGGTGGCACAGTTAATAGCCATTAAACCAAGATCACATGATGTAGGTGTTGGCCAATTGGCCCATCAAGTCTGCTCTACCATTCAATGAGATCATGGCAGATTTAGTACTCCTGAACTCCACTTTCCTGCCTTTTTGCCATAACTCTCGATTGCCACAAGGATAAAAAATCTGTTTGTCTCAACTTTGTATGTAGTATTATAGAATGTAGTAAACATACCAGCTTCCACAACCTTCTGCAATGAAGAATTTCATAAACTGGCTATCTGCTGAAAAAAAAAATTCTTCATCTCTATCTTAAATGGGTGGCCTCTTAATCTGAAATTATGTCCTCTGGTCCTAGACTCCCACACAAAGAGAAACAGCCTCTCCATATCACCCTATCGAAGGTCTCAGAATCTCACATATTTCATTAATATTGCATCTCAATCCACTCAACTTCAACGAGTACAAGCTCTATCTTCTCATAAGAAAATAAGAAAATCCCCCATACCCAGAACCAATTCCGTGAACTTATTCAGGACTGTCTCCAATTCTGGTATATCTTTCCTTAGGTAAGGGGGCCAAACTACCCACATTATTCCATTTGTGGTCTAATTAGTGCCTCGTATAGTCTTAGCAAGATCTGCCTGATTTTATAGTCCATTGCCTTTGAAGCAAGACTAACATCTTGCATCTTGTGGCACTTAGTTTCATTTCTTCATGCTCACTCACTTTGCAATTACGAGGAGTCTGCCATCCTCTGTGGCTTCATTACCCTTTTAGCCAGAGGGCAAGAAGTGTTAGTAATTCTGGAGGATGAGGTGGGTGAGACTCACTGAGTGGAGATGCTGCACGCAATATTGATGGTGATAGTCCATGAGTATTAGTGATATTTGTGTGCAGTGGAAGAGTCAGAGTGAGCAGTGTCCTTATGAATGTGAGATAGCAGAGACAAGATGGTGATACCTACCCTTGCAGAGTGCAGAAGATTATTAATTTTCATCCTGTACTGCTATGCGTTCTATCTGATTCTACAGACAATACTGACCTGGATTGTTACCTGCGTCCAGGCTGACTGTGGTTGAACATTGAAACATACGAACAAGGAAGAAGAGCAGGCCACTCATCCCTTCAAGTCTGCTCTGCTATTCAGTAAGATCATGGCTGAACTGATTTTACCCTCAACTCTACATTCCTGCATGTCCTGATAATGTTTCATCCCCTTGCTCATCAAGAATCTATCTACCTGTTTTAAAAAGTATTTAAGGATTCTGTGTTCACTGCCTTTTGATGAAGGGAATTCCAAAGATTCACAGCACTCTGAAGTAATGTTTCTTCATCTCTCTTTTAAATATGTGAGTTTTATTTTTGAACAATAACTCGTAGTTCTAGATTCTCCTTCAAGGAGAGACACTCTTTCCACATCAAGTCTCCTCAGGATCTTATATGCTTCAATTAAGTCACGTCTGACCCTTCTAAACTCCACAGGATACAGACCCAGCTTTTACCTCCTTTAGTGGCTCACCACCTTACAATGACCCTCCTTTCCATCCACCAGGACCTCCAGGACTCTAAAGGAGGAGCCAGTTTCCCTCTCTGAGACTATTGATGTATGTTTCTTAACAAGGCTGTTTGCGAGTTGGTTCCTAGCTTGTAGCATCCCAGGTTTTGTGCAATTTGGCTTTAAATATGGTGACAACAGCTTGGTGTGTAGAAAATTGGAGCAGAAGTAGGCCATTTGGCCCTTTGAGTCTGCTTCACCATTCAATATACTCATGACTGATAAACAAGTCAACTGCCTGTTGCTGCTTGCTCCCCATGTCCTTTAATCCCAAGTGCTATACCCACTCGAATCGTACAGTGAATCATAGAACCCCTACAAGTGCAGATAAAGGTCTCCAAATAGCATTCCATCCTATTCCTATAATTCTGCAGTTCCCGTGGCTAATCCACCTTGTCTGCATATCCCTGGATACTGTGAACAATTTAGCATAGGTAATCAACCGAACTTGCACAGCTGTGGACTGTGAGAGGAAACCGAAGCACCGGGAGAAATCCTATGCAGACACAAGGAGCACGTATAAATTCCACACAGACAGTTGCCCCCAAGGCTGGCATGGAACCCAGGTCCCTGATGCTGCGAGGCAACAGTGCTTGCCACTGAACCACTGTGGCACCTGCATTTTTTGGCCTTCACTGCTTTCTGTGGAGCAGGTGAAGAAGTTTCTCCTCATCTCAGTGAGCTGGAAGATCTGGTCAATGGCAGGAATTTGCTTCATCTGTCACATGACCCATGTGAAGGGTGCCAAAGAGAGCGGTTACATTACTAATAAGATGAGAAATAGACGACAGCATGAGAAAAGCTTGCTGTGAGCCAAGACTGTGCATCCACCATGATGCTCCCTAAAAATAACACTTAGCCTAAAAATGACAAACTTGAACACTATTATTTCAATCATTAAATTTATTCCATTTTATTTATAATTTCAATGTTATTATTAAATTATTGCTATTAGTTATTCATAATTTAGAGATCAGTGGTGCCTTCGTTAATCTGGTTTAGAATGTTAACATTAGACAATTCAGTGTCCTTTTATCAACCGGATGGAAGAGTGAAATAGAAAGAGTGAAGGAGCAATAAGTCAAAGGCAGAAAGATAAAAAGCGGACAATGAATGTGTCAGAAGTATTATGACCAACCAAGTATAAAAATAGAGGGACAGAGAGAAATATGGACTGGAAGTTGCATAAAAGAGCAGTTGCAAGAAAGAAAGGTGATCAATTTTACAATTTCTTATTTGTGAATAATGTTACTTGTATGTATGTATAAAATAATGAATTCAGTGATTGTTTTTAACTTTGTTCTTAATTGATTACAGATGTGAGAGTCTTCAGAAAACAACAGAGAATTATTAAGTTTGGTATAGCACCTTCTGACCTGCGGCTGGAAGTGTATTATCCATTTTTATCTGGTTCTTTAAATGACCATGCAAGAAATATCTTGTCCGGGAATCAGCTGTTTCAGCTAATTTTCTGGAGTGGATAAAACATTGGATTAAACAGTGGCCTTAAAGTGACAGGCCAGATTTCAACTTGATGTCATTAAATATCAATGTTCATGCAGAGTCTTAGTGCTGACTTAAACATAGAAAGTTTAAGAGAAACTCTCCAGGTCTGGCAGCAACTGTCGAGACAGGAACAGGTAGTGTTTTGAATCAAATGTCACCCTTCTTTAGAATTGAAAAATTTGGAAAATTATATTTTTGTGTTGGAGACAAAGGGGGAAGAGGTGGTGAATATGCCCAGAGCAAAGGACAAAGGCAGTGATGATGGTGATGAAGAAGTGATAGATTTGTTAGGTAGGTGTGAATGTTAGGTGTAAAGGTAAAGACTTTGGTAATGCCGAATCAGTTTTAATTCTCAGTGCTATTTTTCACAGATTGTATCCTGAAATCTTGGAATTTTGATAACAAGCATTGACTATAGCACAACTCATTTAGCCTAATTTATTTTCTTGCATCAATAAGGTTAAAAGTGAGAGTGTAGGGCCAACATGCTCCTGTAAAAGTGAAGGTTAGGAGATATAAGTCGAGAGAATTCTAGTTGCAATAGTATGTACAAGATTGGATAAGACAAAAAAAAAGTTTACAGCAGATACCAAGTGCTCAAAACAGAGGATGCCATAGTGGAGTATATAAAAAAAGGGGTGAGGCAACTGCACAGAGGCTGGTATTCTGTCATGAGTCACCCTTAGTTTACATGTGCACAGTACACTGGCTATGGCCAGCCATCTTGGAGTCAGTGCCTTGAACTCAGCAGATTTTAAATCACCTCTTTACATTGGTCAGCCAGGGCTCCCCAGTCAAGGATCTCATAGTCAATAAGAACAACTGGTTCCAATCACTACAAGGGGTTACTTTAAAAAGGAATTAAGAGAGTGAAGAGTGGAGACATGAAAAGAAACACTGGCAAGGAACATTGATGAAAATTTATAAGGTGGTTTACAATTATAATAGGGGCAAAAGAATAACCAGAGGAAGAGAAGCCAAAGTAAAAATCTGTATGTAGAACTGAGACAAAGCTGAGGTTTCAAAAAGTTATTTACATTATTCAAAGTGGACAAAATTGCCAGTCCTGCTGATATATATCCCAGGCTGCTGTGGGATGTAAAGGAGAAGATTGCATGGACTTTGATATTAACTTTTCACACCTGTCTGGCGGGAGGAAGGGTGCTATTGCAGTACCGTATTCAAAAATGGCAGTTGGGATAAACCAGTAAGTTACAGGCCAGTGAGTCTGAGTAGTAGGGAAACTATTGGAAAGATATCTGAGAAACAGGATTAATCCAAAAAAAGTCAGCATGGCTTCCTTAGAGCAGGATAGTATCTAACAAATCTAACAATTTTTCGAGGAGGGCCACTAGCTGTGTAGGTGAGGGCTGTGCAGTTGATTTGTATGCATGGGTCTCAGGCTTTCAACAAGATGTCACATGGCAGTTTGCTTAAGAAGCTAAGTGCCTATAGGAGCCAGGCCAATTTGGCAAGCTGGATCCAAAATTGACTTAGGGACAGGAAGAAGAGGCTGAATATCATAGGACGTTTTTGTGACAGGAAGGATGTGTCCACTTATGTACCACAAGGTTCGGGGCTGGGTCCTTTTTAATAAGGAATACTTTTTACTAATTTAGACTCAAATGTAAGAGGTATGATCAGTAAGTTCACAGATGGCACAAAAATTGGTGATGTCATAAGTAGCAAGGAGTCTCAGGGTATAGGATGATACAGATAGGCTGGTCAGATGGGCTGAACTTTTTCAAATGGGAATTTAATCAGGAAGAGTGAGGTGATCCATTTTCGAAAACAAGCAAGGCAAGGAAGTGAAGTTGAATGATAGGACCAAAGAGATATAAAGGATCAGGGGCATGCATATCCATGAAAGCAGCAGGCCATGTAGATAAGGTGATTAAGAAGTTCTGAGGAAGGGTCATGCGACCCGAAACGTTAACTCTGATTTCTCCCCACAGATGCTGCCAGGCCTGCTAAGCTTTTCCAGCAATTTCTGTTTTTATTTCTGATTAAGAAGATGTATGGGATACTTCCCTTTTATAGTCAAGACATTAAATACAAGAGTAAGAGGTAGAATTGTATATAATGTTTGTTAGGCTGCAGCTGGAGTACTATGTGCACTTCCAGTCACCACACTATAGGAGGGATATGATTGCATTTGAGAGGTGCAGAGGACAATTACCATTATGTTTCCTGGACTGGAGTGATTCAGATAAGAAGAGAGAGTGAATGGGCTGGGGTTGTTTTTCTTCAAACAGAGAAGGTGAAGAGGGGACCTGATTGAGGTGTACAAAGTTATGAATGGCATTGTTAGAGTAAATAGGGAAAAATTGTCCTCTTCGTAGAAGGGACAATATCAAGGTAAGGAGTAGGAGTATAGATGGGATTTGAAGAAAGTTGTCTTCATTCAATTGGTAGTGGATATCTAGAACTCACTGCTTACAAGGATGGTAGAGATGGAAGCCTCAAGACATGTAAAAAACATTTAGATAAACACTTGAAATGCCACAGCATAGAAATCTATGGCCAAGGATTAGAATCGATGGATGTTTGATGTCCAACACAGGTTCATTGGGTCTAAGGACCTCTTTCTATGCTGTAAAAAATCCATCTCTAATAATACTGTGTAATGTATTCCACAAGTGGGTATGCCTGATTGAAATTTAAAAAATGCATTTGAATATCAGATTATGAATTCTTTAAGTATTGCTCTCATTCTCATCTATTCACTTTATTTCAACAACATATTTTATCAAGAGAGTTATCAATTTTGTTTAAAATCTGTAAAAGTTAAGAGCTAAATTATAACTGTAGCAAGTCAGTGAGCTAATTTGCAAACAGAGCAGGCTGGAGTTCTAAGGATGGTACTGTGGGTTAGCTGGTGAGTGAGGCAATGATTTATTAATGGTTAAAATAGTTGTCGGGTCAAAATCCTGGAACTTCCTTCCTAACAGCACATGGACTACAATGGTTCAATAACCTTCTCAAGGGCAGTCATGGATGGTCAATAAATGCTGGTCCCTTCTGCAATGTTCACATCTCATAAAAACTGGTGAAAAGTTTACATTTTTCTTCATTGCTATGTTGAGCTTTCTGGTTCTAACAAATGAATTTTCCATTATGCAATGTTTTAAAAGACATGGCTTGAACTTGAATAGTGTTTAACTTTTAAATTATAGATTAACTTTGTTGAGTACAGTTGTCAAATGCATTTAGCAACCTCTTGAAGGCCAAATGCCATAGTTCCATTCATCGGATGCAGAAGAGAAAAGAAGAACCTTAGAGCAGGAGTAGGGCATTCGGCCCCTTGAGCCTGTTCTATCAGTTTAATACGATCATGGCTGACATCACCTTGGCCTCAACTCCATTTTCCTGCCTGCTCTACATAACTCTTCAACCCATCGCTGAGTAAAAAATCTTTCTCTTCCTTACACTTAATGCAAGGAATGGAGGGATATGGACCAAGGGCAGGCAGAAATGATTAGTTTAATTTGCCGTCATGTTTGGCACAACATCATGGGCCAAAGGGCCTGTTCCTGTGCTGGACTGTTCTATGTTCATAAGTTCATTCGATGTAGGGGCAGAATTAGGCCATTCTGCTCATCCAATTCTGCTCCATCTTTCGAACATGGTTGATATGCTCCTCAGCCCCATGTTCCTGCCTTCTCCCCATAATACTTCAACCCATTACCAATTAAAAACCTGTCTAACTCCTTGTTAAATTTACTCACTGTCCCTGCATCCACTGCACTTTGGGGTAGCGAATTCCACAGATTCACAACCCTTTGGGAGAAGTAGTTTCTCCTCAACACTTTTTTAAATTTGCTACCCCTTGTCCTAAGACTATGACCTCTCATCCTCGAATGCCCCACAAGAGGGAACATCCGCTCCACGTCTATTTTATCTATAACTTTTATCATCTTGAATACCTCAATTTGATCTCCCCTCATTCTTCTAAATTCCAGAGAGTATAGGCCTAAATGTTCAATCTGTCTTCATACAACAAATCCCTCATCCTTGGGATCAGTCTAGTGAACTCCCTCAGTACTGCTTCCAATATCACTACATCTTTCCTCAAATGAGGGGACCAAAATTGTGCATAGTACTCCAGGTGCGGTCTCACCAGTGCCTTGTATAGTTGCAATAATACTTTCTTACCTTTATATTCTATTCCTTTAGCTATAAAAGCCAACAATCCACTCGCTTCCTTTATTATCTGCTGTGCCTGCGTGCTAGTTTTCTGTGATTAATGAACAAGGGCACCCAGATCCCTCAGCACTGGAATACCCCAAAGTCTCTCCCCATTTAGATAATAGATCACCTTCTCGTTTTTCCGACCAAAATGCATGACCTCAGACTTATCCATGTTGAATTCCATCTGTCGCATTTTGGCCCATCCTTCTAACCTATCTATATCCATTTTTAAGGTTCTTATTTCCCCATTGCAATTTACCATCCCACCTACATTTATTTCATCTGCAAATTTGGCTATCCCTATATCCAAGTCATTAATATAGATTGTAAATAGCTGGTGTCTAAAGACTGAACCCTATGGCACACCCACTAGTTTCCTTTTGCCATTCAGAAAAATAACCCATTTATCCTGGCTCTCTGTCTTCTATCCATCAGCCAGTCACTTATCCAAGCTAATAAATTACCTCTAATCCCATATGATCCAGCTTTGTGAATTAACCTTTTGTGCAGCACCTTATCAAATGCCTTCTGGAAGCCCAGATATATTACAACTACAGGGTTCCCATTATCCACTTTGCTTGTTACATCATTCGAAGAACTCTAGCAAATTAGTCAAACATGATTTGCCCTTCATAAAAGAACGCTGAATCTAATGGATAGCATTTTGACTTTCCAAATGTTCTATGTTCTAAGTAGAAATAACCCGAGCACTGATTATAGATCGAACAGAAACAATAACTTTGTAATAGAATCAGTACACCCTGATATAGCTTACAAATATCATAACAATTGTAAGTGCATCTATTATCTTTTTTTAAACACTGAAAAAACTGCGGATGCTGTAAATTAGGAACAAAAACAAAG